AGAGTTTGCAGGCCTCTGTGTCAGCCAGTCTGCCAGGGAGGTGGGGTGACAGGCCTGTGCCACCAGGGCCAGTGCTCACAACTGTCTTCCTTTTAAAGCCTTTTTTTTTTTTTTTTTTTTTTGTCTTTGTTTTTGGAGACAGGGCCTCTCTGTAGCTTTGGAGCCTGTCCTGGATCTTGCTCTGTAGACCAGGCTGGCCTCGAACTCACAGAGATCTTCCTGGCTTTGCTAGGATTAAAGCTGTGCACATAAAGCTGTACTGTGAGCTGAATCAGGCAGAACTGGAGTTTGTGATTTGAGCACTTCCACAGAAACCTCCTTCACAACACCTTGCTCTGCAGTTAAGGGTCAAAGGAGATGGGAGGAACTAAGCCTTGTGTGGTGAGCTGTATCCTGCCTGCCTTCTGTGGCCTCCTCATGGCTCTTTACCTCTATTGCTACCTTCTGTGATATGTCCTTTGTCCCAATTCTTCAGCCTGTGAACATGTAGCTGTACATGGCAAAATTACAGACGTGATTAAATTCAGCACTTTGAGGAGATGTTTTTGCATGATCTATGTGGGCCTGTGTCTTTAAAGTGAGACAAAGAGGTGGTAGGGGTGAGGCAGAGAAGACTTGGAAGGAGTCTGCGAGCCAAGGAATGCAAGCAGCTCTGGAAAGCGGGAGTGCAGATCTGCTGATTCCTCTTGTGTTCTGTATGGTCTGAAGAATGTGCCTGTGGTTTCCAGTGTTTAGTTAGCATGTAGTAAGCACAAGGAAAAAAACAACCAATAGCAACAGACAGGCAGCAAAACATCATCAAACCTGTCACCCACAGAGAAACCCCATCTCACGATACAAAACAAAACAAAAACAACAACAAACCAGAGCCCTGTCTCCCAGGTGGAGTCAGGACTAACCATCACAGGATCAGCAGTGTGGTTACTTTGCTTAAGCAGCCGGAGTCAGCCTTTAAAAATGAATCCTACTCCAGCCAGGCATATTGGTGTACACATCTGGAATCCCAGGTTTGGAGAGGTTGAGTCAGGAAGATCAGGAGTTCAAAGCCAGCTTTGGCTACATGGGGGGTTTGTTAAGAAAGATGTCAGGGCTAGGGATATAGTTGAGTGGGTAGAATGCTTGCCTAGCAGATGCTCCGACGGTCCCTGGCACCATATGAACCAAGCATGCTGATACACACCTGCCATCAGAGTCGAAAGCAGCAGCAGTTTACGGTCATCTTCACCTGTCAGGGAGTTGAGACCAGCCGGGACGGTGGCGCAGGGTCGTCTCCAAGGGGGAAAGAAGACTAGACTCAGCTGCATGAGAGTAAGTTGCATACAGCTGTGGACAGCTGACCCCCTGGCCTGCAAAGGTGCAGCTCATAAGGAGCAAGCTGTTTCCAGAGCCAGCTGTTGATGTGGCCACAGTGCACAGCCTCATGTCACTTGCCACAGTGAGCAGTGTCCTGTGTATGTGGGGTGCTGGTGGCTAACAAGGACTCTCACATATTCAAGTAGCTCAGGCTAGCCTTGAAATTTTGTTGGTTTTGAGATGATGTCTCTATATAACCCTGGCTGCCCTGAAGAGCACCACGTAGTCCAGGCTGACCTTGAACTCCCAGGGCCGCCTGCCTCTGCACCTCCTACACGCTGCGATTAAAGCTTTGATAAAAAAAAATGTTTTTAAAGATTTATGTACATGGGTGTTTTTTGTCTGCACCCCAGGAGAAAGCATCAGACCCCACAGGACTATACTTACAGACAGCTGTGACCCACCACGTGGGTCCTGGGAATTGAACACAGGACCTCTGCAAGGGCAGCCAGGGCTCTTAACCCTGAGCCATCGCTCCAGGTCCATGGTCTTGAATTTTTAATTCTCCTGCCTCAGCTTCCAGAGCCCTGAGATTACAGCCTTTTGAGTGGAAAGTTCTAGAAAACATCTTACTACATTTTACTTATTTGGGGTGAGTATGTGTGTCTGTGTGTTACAGAGTACATGTGGAGGGCACAGGAAAACTTGCGGGCATAGGTTTTCTCCTTCTACTACATGGGTGTTGGGAGTCAAACTCAGGCCGTCAGGTTTGGAGGCAAGTACGTTCACGGAGTAGAACCACTCTTCCATGGCAGTGAGATGTCACCCTAATTACAGACAGTTGGCCAAGCCCATGTCCCTAATCTCTTCTTCCCCAATGCTGTAAGGGAGACATAGGTATAAACTCTAGACCGTACTTTAAAAGATCTTTTGGAATGTGGCAGGATGAGTCTCCTCTTAATCATATGCTTTTGTCCAAAGTTCTGAGGGCTGGAGAGATGGCTCAGAGGCTGCTGCTCAACCATGAGGACTGGAGTTTGGATCCCAGCACCCACGTGACAAGCCAGGTGCTTTGCTCACACCTGTAACCCCAGCTCTGACCTGGGCAGACTGGAGAGAACCACTGGGGCTTGCTGTTTCCAGCCGGGCCAAGAAAAACACAGCCCTGTCCCAAAGAAATAGTTGGAAATGATGAAGGACAGCTGACATCCTCCCTGGCTTCTGTCCATGCACACAGGCACATGTAACCAACATAGATGCGCACACAAAGGATTCCTTTATGTGTGCTTAAATGTGTCTGTGTAGAGGTATGTGCACATGAGTAAAACAGGTGCCCTGCGGGAGGCCGGAGGCATCAGGTCCCCCAGACCTGGAGTAAGAGGCAGTTGCCAGCCACCTGACTAGAGTGCCAGCAATCACCCGGGGTTCCGGGGACCTGGGTTTAATTCCCAACACTCACATGGAGGCTCACAACTGAAATTCCAGTTCCAGGGGCCACTCTCACTTAAATGACCACAGGACCTAACAAAAGCCATTTCCCAACAAGATAATCGGCGTCATGAAGAGCTGTCCACTCCAATCCTCCGCTTACAATGGTAATGCAATTGTTTGTTCAAAGACTCTCCTCAACAATACGAAGTGAAAACCCATCCGGGACTAGAGTCCCCAGCTTGTCACTTATTAGGGGACACAAACTACAGCACATGCACATACATACCAACCTTTAGGCACCATGTCACCCCGTGACCCACCTTTTTCGTGAACTCCTCTGACCTCTCCATGTTCCTTCTATAGTGGCCACACACCCTTGCAGATGAGCGAGCAGTGGGGTACGGAGCAGCAGGCAACACACCCCACTTGTGCTTGCTCTTGCCTGTCACTGCTCACACTACACTCCAGACCCTCGACAGTACCGCAACACTTGCTTTTCTCAACGGAGCGTCTGTGAGGCTGCACCTGGAAGGCGGTCTGTGAAGGACAGAACCTTCTACACTAGATTCTTGTTCCCTTTCCCTCAGCAGGTGTCAATAGTCCAGGCTGGCCTTGAACCTCTGATCCCGACACCACCTTCCAGGGCTGAGATCACAAGTTCATGCCACAGCTGTTTCAAACTCATTAAAAAAATAAAAAGAGGCTTGTCAAATGGACTAACTCTGATGTTTATCTCGAACGAACGTTTTTTACTATCTGTTCCAATTTTGTCTCTACAGATTTTCTTTTGCTGTTCTTCCAGACAGGGTCTCTGTTAAGTCCTGGAACTCACTTTGTAGATCAGGTTGGCCTTGAACTCAGAGATCTGCCTGCCTGTGCCTGGGACTAAAGGTGTGGGCCAAGAGGGCTTCCCCCACCCCAACCCCCCCATCTACAGATGTTTAACTACTTGCCTCTGCTTCCCTAGGGCTGGGATTCAAGTTGTGTGCCAACACACCAGCCTATCTCCAGTTACTAACCACATGCACATACATACATGTTGCTTCAGGTCATCTGGAAGCGACACACTCATCGGTACACTCAGGACTTCCTTATGCTGTGCTGCTTTGGGGCATAGGAATGAGACCTCTAATAAAGAGCAATTTAAAATTTTGCTGTTATGTATGTGTGTACCATGTGCATCCCTAGTGCCTGTGCAGCCCAAGAGCACATGGATCATCCCCTAAACTGGATCAGGATGGTCCCCAAGAATAGCAAGTGCTCTTAATTACTGAGCCATCTCTCCAACCCTAAAGAACAACTTTAAAGAAAGCTTTAAGGGCATGGTGGCATGTGCGTTTAATCCCAACATTTGAGAGGTACAGGTAGGTGTATCTCGGTGGGTTTGAAGCCAGCATTTTGAGTTAAACTTTAAGTTCCAGGACAGCCAGCCTAGTTAAAAAACTCATCTTTCAGACCCTGTTGTAGAATCTTTTCCCCGCTCCTTTGGCAGTGTTGGGGAGACTCCAAGGCCATTCAGATGCTGGGCAAACACTAACACCAACTTACAGTCCCAGCCCACAGATATTTTCCTATGTGTTCTTAAACAGGAACAGAAATCTAACAATGGCCGGGCGTTGGTGGCGCACGCCTTTAATCCCAGCACTCGGGAGGCAGAGCCAGGCGGATCTCTGTGAGTTCGAGGCCAGCCTGGGCTACCAAGTGAGCTCCAGGAAAGGCGCAAAGCTACACAGAGAAACCCTGTCTTGAAAAAACCAAAAAAAAAAAAAAAAAAAAAGAAATCTAACAATGAACAGAAAAACTTCCCTGGCATGTATGAGGACCCAGAACACTACTAACCTGGTCAAAGGTGCATGCCTGTGACCCCAGAATGTAAGGCAAGAAAATCAATTCAAGGCTACTAAGCAAGCTCAGAGGCCCATCCTCTGAACATGAACATACATATTACATGAGACTGTCTTAAGAATCTTAAGAATCTATCAATTAAGGGGCTTGCACTGTTTCAAAGACCCAGTTTATCAATAACCCAAAGCGTCCCAGTCACCAGTAAGTTCAACACACATCTCAAGCCAAGTAAGTAAATCTCAAGAATAAGAAAAGCCATGTGTGATGGCACATGCCTTTAATACAGGCACCAAGGAGACAGGCAGAAGGATACCTGAGTTGAGGTCAGTCTACAGAGTGAGTTCAGTGAGTTCTAGGACAGCCAGGGCTACACAGATGGAAAAAACAAAACAGAAGTTAATCAGAAAATTAAACCAACCAGGCACTTTGAATACTCTTTCACAACTGAGACTTTATTGGTTGAGTACACAGACATTTCAATTCTTAAAACATGGACCCAAATTCTAAGAGTCATACATTGTGTTCACGTACCCAAAAGAGCCATGTATTATTGTTTCTTTGAACTTATTCCAGTGATGTTCCATCCTAAGCTTGGCAAGTTTTCCCTAAGACCTCACATAACAATCAAATGCTCACAATCCTTAATTCCACTGACTCACAATTTTATGCCACATACAGTACATATTCAAAATTTCAATCTTTCACAGCACATTATCACAACTGTTAGGAAAATGGACTGCCATGACCAGAGACAGTTCTGACAGGGCAAGGACCGAGGAGTGGTTTTTTAGGATACAGTTCTACTAGAAACACGAGACCAGAAATAACTGAAAATATTCCAGACACAAATGCACGACCAAGACTCCAAGTATGCTTTGTGTTGTAGGATATAAAACTAGCCCCCTCTACGGAATGTTATGGTGACCCCCGAGACAGTCACAGCCTCTCCTGATTCAGTATCCTGCTATTTTCTGGTTGTACCAAAAAATAAACAACCAGCAAGTGATTTAACCTCTTAAAAAAATCATTTACACTTAAAAAATGGGATGAGGCGGGACTTCCCCCCACCTTTTAAAAATGTTTCTAGAGCTACTAAAAAACTCGCATTTACAAAATAGTTGATAAAAATATTCCTCTGGATTGTACAAGAAGGGAGGCGGGGACACTGACAGACACGATGGATGGTTAGTCGGACTTGGCTTCTTTCTCTTCGACTTCAGAGGCAGGACTCTGCAAAGCACAGGAAAAGTAAGGATTAAATATGCCGTATGTCACAGCCACAATCTCCACCATTGGTGCACTTCCTCTCCACATAGCCCTGGCTATGCCTGGAATTTATTATATAGGCTAGGCTAGCCTCAAACTCAGAGATGCACCTTCCTCGTATTTGACAACTAAGCAGCCAAGACAAGTGAATTTGTGAGTTCAAGGCCAGCCTGGTCTATAAAGCCAGTTCCAGGACAGCCAGTGCTACATAGTTAAGACCATGCCAAAAATACTACTACTGTAATACTATTCTAGCTAGAGATCGGCTTGGTGGGTAAAGCTACCTGCCACACAGAATAACTGACAGCTCTAATCCTCAGCACCCACACAAGTGCCAGGTGAGTGCTGCAGTCCACCTGTTATCCCAGCAGGATTCAGCAAGGGATCCCATCAAAATACTTAAAAATGGAGAATATAACAGCAAAGGCCACCCACATCAACCTCTGGCCTCCAAGCATACACAGTAAGTATGTATGTTCAGACACCATAAAAACTGAACATTCCAATTTGCCTTGCTAAGTTTAGCAAACACAACAAAGGGTTAGAAAAATAAGAATTGTTAAGCTTGTCAGGCATGGCAGCACTTGGAGGCTGAGATAGGTCAATCAGTTCAGGTCTAGATTAACATTGTACTGCACTTTGAGTCTTCCCCACAGCTCATAAAAAGACTGAAATCGGGCTGGAGAGATGGCTCAGAGGTTAAGAGCACTAGCTGCTCTTCCAGAGGTCCTGAGTTCAATTCCCAGCAACCACATGGTGGCTCATAACCATCTGTAATGAGATTTGGTGCCCTCTTCTGGCCTGCAGGGACACATGCAGACAGAACCCTGTATGCATAATAAATAAATCTTAAAACCCACATTTTTGTCACAAAGGGAATGAGTCTAATCATTTATGCACCCAGAATATGTAAATAGGGATTCCAGTGTAAGACCACAGCAGTGTTAGGCAGAGAAAACCAGTCCACTAATTCCAACAAAGCCTTACAAAGTCACGTGAGAAAACCTTTATGATCTCTACATTCCATTCCTGGTGAATTGGCATAATCACATCCAAATAAAACCCAATTCACTAAAAAGTGTTACTCATTCATGAAGGAGAACTATACAGAAGAGTTAATCATAAAAATCTAAACTGAGCTGGGAGGTGGTGGTGAATACTTTTAATTCCAGCCCCTGGGAGGCAGAGGCAGGCAAACCTGAGCTCAAGGCCAGCCTGGTCTACAAAGTGAATGCCAGGACAGCCAGGGCTACATAGAGAAAATTTGGTTAGAAAAGTAAAACAAAACCTAACCTGCTACATAAAAAATCTAATTTAGCTGGGTAGTGGTGGCGCATACCTTTATTCCCAGCACTCGGGAGGCAGAGCCAGGCGGATCTCTGTGAGTTCGAGGCCAGCCTGGGCTACAGAGCGAGTTCCAGGAAAGGGGCAAAGCTACACAGAGAAACCATTTCTCAAAAAGCAAAAACAAAAACAAACAAACAAACGAATTTAACATCTGTAGATCAAACTCAGTATGTGAACGCATGCACGTGCACTCTTCTGACCTGGTTCTCAGCCTCTCCATTTTCTGCAGGCACATCTGTGGTTTGTTGGTCAGCCACCTCCGCCTGTTTGCCCTTTGCTCCCCTCTTCCCTTTTGTTTGCACTTTTTTGTCTGATGGTTTATCCTAAAACAAGAGCAAGAGAATACTTTAATAAACTTTGCATTCAGTTTTGACTTGATGCAGACTGTATCCACAACATACATCACAAACCAACCTCAGCAACTCTTACAGCCTTGTTATTGGACAACTTGAGATTCACTCCAAGGAGACAAAGATTCATCCCTAAAATTGCCATCACACATTAGCTATAAAGAAACCTAATCTTGTGCCATACTCTCCACAGCCCACGGCCACACGAGAGATTAAATGCAAAGGCCTTGTAATCCTATCAACCCAACAATTTCTTGTAATCGTAAGTAATCCAACTACCCAACAACTATTGTCCTGAAGACTTGTACCCACACATGTGGACCATTCACCTTAACCATGTACCGAGTTGTAAGGTCATGTTGTCCTGTCACACAGTCCCTTGCTAGATACTATACAATGAGTAACTAAAAAGATCAATTTTGAGTTATCATTTTCATTTGGGTGTTTGCAGAATCTGAAACGTACAAGTATTAGTGTGAGTATATAACTTGAAACATTAAGTTAACAGGTCATATTCAAATTACTTCCAGGCTGGACCACCAAGCCTGAGGAGGACCTCAATTCTCCACATCCACAGGAAAGAATCAACTTCAAGTTCTGATCCTCACAAGCTGTGGCACAAACGCATACACACATCAATAAGTGAATGTGATAAAAGCCAAACTCCTTATGGGCCCAAGACAAACAAGCAAATCAACAGTTAGGGAACACAAGGGTGGGGTGCCCCATACAGAAGGGTTGACTGTTCATCTGAACCATTCAAGACAGAGTTTCTGTTTAGTCCTTGCTGTCCTGGAACTCACTCTGTAGACAGACCAGGCTGGTCCTGAACTCGAGATCTGCCTGCCTCTGCCTCCCCAGTGTTTTGTTAAGGACAGGATTTCTGTGTAACAGTTCTGGTTGTCCTGGAACTTGTTTTGTAGACCAGGTTGGCCTTGAATTTACAAGAGATCCACCTGCCACTCCTGAGTGCCTTCAAAATGATTACTTTTAAAGTAGTAACACCCACAAGCTTATACTACAAGTTGGATGATTAAAACAAAGAAACTGGACATAAAAACTTAATGGAAATCTAAGAACAAAGCCCTTCTCAAAAGTTTTTCTTTTGGAAAGCCACGGGCCAAGTCTGTTCCTCAAACAGAGGCCAGGTGTAAGGAGGGATGCATGTATGCTACCCCATCCTCTGTATTCAAAACACTTACTTACCTCTCAACAAGAAAAGAAAATGATTACAAATGCTGCCCGCCCCAAAGCTACTCAAGTCAAACACATGCTGCTCCTATTTAAGACGCTACAGGAAGATCAAAATATAAATAGTACAAGAAACTCAGCAAACCACTAAGAATGCCAAATAGTTCAGAGAACTGTACAGACACCGATTAAGAGTCACTCCAGACCCTGACCAGTAAGTACTGTTTATGTCGGGATTACTGATGATCTGCGGCATGACAAAGTCTTAGTTGATGTTATCACCATTCCTTGAAGCTGTGTTTAAAAAGACCATAAGCTGGGACTGGGGAGAGAGACAAGGCTTGGTGCTCTCCCTGAGGATCCAGGTTCAATTCCCAGCACTTAACGTGGTGGCTCAAAACTGTCTGTTAGGTCCTTTTCTGGCCTCTGGGATGCACACACATGCATGCAGACAAGATAGTGATACAAAAACTATCGAGGGCTGGAGAGGTGGCTCAGATGTTAAGAGCACTGGTTGTTCTTCCAGGGGTCCTGAGTTCATTTCCCAGCAACCACATGATGGCTCACAACCATCTTTAGTGAAATCTGGTGCCCTCTTCCAGCCTGCAGGGATGCAGGCAGAACACTGTATGCATAACAAGTAAGTAAATATAAATATATATAAAAACTATCGAGAAAACAGTTCAGTCTTTACTCAGGTGCATAAAATGTTCTTTCAAAAAGCTTTTAAATTATGTGCATGCCTATGTGCCTGTGCATGGGCAAGCTGTGCCTGCAGAGGCCAAAAGAGGTTACCAAACCTTATCCCCTGGAGCCATGTGTGACTCGAACAGACCCAGGTCGCTCTGCAAAGAGTGTGCGCTCTTAACCGGTGAGTCATCTCTTCGGCTCATAAAGTGCTTTTCAGTCTTTTAAAAAGGCCTCTATTTGTGTACGAGTGTATGTGCACAGCCTGTACCTGGAGGTGCTGGAGGTTAGCAGGGGATCTGAGACCCTGAAACTGGAGTTAGGGATGCTGGTGAGCTGCCCCCCACCCCGTGGGTGCCGGGACCTGCACCCAGGCCCTGCCCTGTGCAAAACCAAACGCTCCTAACCCCAGGGATGCACCCAGCCGCTCCCAACAGCCTTCCCGAAACCACCGAAATGCCAACGGAGCGGCCTGCCTGCACATGCGTTTCGAAACCTACCTTCCCCGCGGCCTTCTTCGGCTTCGCGTCCACCTTGGCAGGGGCGGGCTTCTGGGGAGTCAAGGAAAAAAGGGGGTAAGAAGAGGCGGCGAGCCGTCCCGCGGACGCCGGGTCCCCGCTCGCCCGCCCGCCCCGGCCCGCGGTACTCACGGCCGACAGCCTCGCCGAGCGCCGCTTGGGCTGCGGAGAGAAAAGGGAGCGTG